ATGGACTCATGTCTTGTTAGGGAGACCACTTCATGGACGGTGTAGAGGCCTGACCACTGCACTGTACATCTGAAGTTGCCGTTGAATAATATTATATGTCAATATTATATGTCAACTATAATTTAATACATATATAGTCATGGGATGTGGAGTATAGCATGAGAATGGAGTAAATGAAATTGTAATAGATATGTATGATATCGGGGGTGGGGGGGCAATAGGTGGGGAGAGGGGGGTTGTCAAAAATAAATAAATAAAAGGCTTTTTGTTTAAGATGTAGAGCAGAGAAAAAACAACTTTGAATTCAAGATTCTCACCTTTATGTTTTTAACTATATACTAAAGTTACCTTAACCTACATGACAGTCAAGTATCTCCCAAAAAATCATCTCAATGATACTTAGAGACTTACTACATAGAAATGTGCTTTTACTCAGCACCGGAAGGGGCAGTAGGGATGCATTACAAAGGAGCATAAGAAAATTATTGTGGGTGATAGATATATTCATTATCTTGACTGAAGTGATGACTTCATGGGTGTATACATGTCAAAATTTATCATACTCTACACTTTAAATATGTGCAGTTTGTCATGTTATACCTTTATAAAGACATACGTATATATAGTAAAAACAAACAAAAACAACAAAAAACAAACAGCTAAGTACTATAGACAGGCAGAGAGATAAAATTTTTTGTTTTGTTTTTTACCTGAGATCTCTTGGGGTCAATAAATTGAGAAATCTTGTAAACAATTTCATCAAATGACAGTCCATATAAGGACTTCCCATAAGTGTCCTTCAATTTCCGTAAGAAATCTGTAAGCTCCTTTCTGGAAGAGATCAAGGAAAGCAGTGGTGATTTTCCCTACTGCCTGAGGTCATGCTCTCCATACAAGATATAAAATAATATTGTATAATTGATATGTATCATGTAGACGTGACCCTTTAGATCTCTGACCTATAAAAGTGATCACAGGTCCACCTGCATTTATCTTAAACCAAAATGAAAAGTCCTAATGTTTTATTAACAATGTGTTCATGAGTGATAAAATTTAGTATTTATTTTCTTTTAAAAGAGACATTTTAACTGTTTTTGAAAGCTCACTATGATATTTAAGTTTATTATCTACTTATTTATGCACTGAGCTCTTTATATCACATCTTCAATACTCTCTTAATAGGACTAAATTTCCTTTTTAACTATTTTACTATCTCTCTCTCCTCAATAACTTTTACTTTCGTAAAACTTAGAAACAGAAAACAATGATTAAATAGAACACGAAAGTAAAGATTAAAAGACACATTATGTGATAAACAAACCTAAGAATATTTTAATTGATATGTCACTTTTCAATTTTCACGGTCCATTGACCCAAAGTCTACACATACATTTTTGGTACAATAGGGTAAGGTGATGAAGTATTTTTCTTTCCCAAATGAAGTGTCATGTCATCATCAGCCTTATGGGACTACCTTTGATTTACAATTTATTCATTTTATACATATATATTTATAACAACTGTATTAAAGTTCTATTTTCATTATCTATTGAAAATATTTATAAAACCATACTCTATTCTGAAGCATAACAGTATGTACATTAAATAAAAGATCTTCAAATGAAAATACTGATGAAAACTAGAATTGTTCTTTGGATACAAGAGTAAAGATTAAAAGAAACTTCGTTTCTGGAGCAGTAGAATTAAATATCTTTCTACTAAAGTCAGAACTGTGAAAAGCACAGTAAAATGATCATTTCTTGCATTTAACTGTGTTCCTTAACAAAAAAAAAAAACCGTAAGGACCCTCAATAAAATTAAGAAGATAGGAAAGTAAAACCTGATCATTTTCAGGTTTATATGGCATATAATCAACTTAAAATTCACTTTGGAAATAGGTGTTAATATAATTATTGCAATTGGTGGCATTAAAATCTGTTACGTTACAACTAGCTGTACTTTGAATAAATGAGCAAACCTAAATTTAAAAACTTATTCTCTCATGACTTAAGACTAATAACTTCAGTTAAGAGGTTTAGCATTTATATTGAACACTATCCCATCTTAGTAAATTTCCTTTTCTTACCAAGGTCATGACAAAAAAAATCTATACTTTTGTGTGAGTGTTGTTTCTCTGAAATGTTGTATTGCTGTAATTATGGCTATGGACTGCAGAGTACATGGTGAGTACATGATTTGTACTCACCACTAAATATAAACTAAGGTACCTGGTCTGTTGTGGAAAGGCAGTTTTCAGCCTGTCAATAATCTTCTCCCAATTCATCACGTGGGGATCGCTTCCCAGTCCTGCACTGGGAGGCACAAGCTCTCCCATGGGCGCCGGCACAGTCCAGGCTATGCCAGTCATCTGTAAGGAGCACATTAGCTTCAATTATCAGGCAATCACATTCTATGCCAACATGTCATTTCAATACCTCAGAAAGTGGGTAGAATGAAGAAGAGAAATATTGGCATACACTTTCTCCTTTTAGAGTTTTTCTTAACTATCACAACAATATTTCAAATTGTTTATATTACCCTTATTGTAAAAATGGGATATACTAGTCTTGGTAATTGCAAACATGTACAGAAATACATGTAGGGTATTTATTTCTGTGTTTTATAACAGTAAAAACCTGAAAACAACCTCAAGTTTGTTAATAGGGTTATCAGTAAATATGGTATACTAATCAAATCCTTAAAAATATCGGGCTGTTGGAAAAGTCATGATGCACTTTTGCAACTAAAAACAGAAAAAATACATCATGACTTTTCCGACAACCCAATAGATCAATATGTCTGAGCATGAGTGATATCCATGAAATATGTTTCATTGAAAAAAAGTCTTTGGCATTTTATGGTATGACTCATTTTATATTAATTTTTTTAAAGTTGTATGTACAGAAAAAAGTCTGTAAGTTATAAAACAATCTGTAACTGATGATTATTTCCTAGGATTCAATTGCAGGGTAATTTTGGTTTCTGCTTTGTATATTTTTTTATATACTTTGCATATATTTTGTGTATTTCTATATTATTTGCTTTTTTATGATTAGCACATACTACTTTTATAATTAGAAAAATAATCAAGTTGAATTTTCAAACAACTAAATAAATATGAGACTACTACTAAAATGTCTGCACAGTATTTCATGAATGTTACAAAGGTGGTGTGGAAGTTGTAGTGACACCTCTGAGTGAAACCAGCAAACAAAGGTTTCCCCATATTTTATGGTAGTTCTGTTTCAGAACCATTAAGATTCTAATTCATTAATATCAATAAATGAATATTTTTGAGTGCTAATCTGATTACTAGAATAATTATAAACATGGCATGTTTCACCTAAGTCTCTATAAGTTACCTTTAAATATAAGGTTATTACTCATGAAAACTAGCAACTACTAATAGCCATTGGAATAACTCATACAAAGCCTAGTAAGTTAGAAGAGCAGAATACTGTCCCAAAACCTGGGTTTGCATCAGTACCAAGATTTCCCCAGGAATCAGAAAGCAATCTTATTAGGAGGTTGAAGTATTTCAATGTTTTCAATAAAATTTTACCATAGTTCTTTATAGAATGGTGCAGGAGCAAATCATGTGAACAAAATTGTGAAATCATGGAGATAAAAAGATGTGGTGCTTAGTTAACATGTTAAGGCCTGTATACATATTTGTTTGCAGGGAGGCAGCCTCTATAAAAATAAGCAGAATCTATTTGACTATATATTTCAAAGGGAGACTATTAGCAATGTATAGGTACAAAAAACAACTTACTGAATGTACTTATAGGAATGTCAAGACTAGAGAATTTTTCATTAATTATATTTAACATAATCTTCTGGAAAAATATTTTTTCTTTATATAAAAAAAGTTTACCTTAATCAAGATTACAACTGATAATGCAATTCATTTAAAATTTCTCTATTGCTTCTCCAGGATAAGGCTTATTTAGCTATTTGTAGCTAGGAAGATTTATAACTTTATAGCATAATATGTTCCAACATGATGCCTATTTATATTGTCTGTTTATAGATAAATACTGTCCTACTATACATACGTGTGAGTGTATGCGCAAATAAATTTTTTCTTTAGCTTTGTGGCATAATTTAGTTCATTGAGTTGGCTTCTTTGCTTTCAACCTACCCAATAATCATGCTAATTATAAATTATCTATTCAAATATCAATCTACATGTCATTGTTGCCTGTTATAGAAGCAAACAGTAACTGTATGGATTCTCTACTATAAAAATATATTAATCTTTATATCCCAAAACTAAGCTACTATCAGTTAATGAACAATTAAATAACATATGTAACGACCTTAACACAGTGCCATGGAACTATTTATTCAATTACTATGCAGTTATCATCATCACCATCACCACCACTATCATCATTTATCAAATAAATGAACAAAGAGAAGACAGACATTCATTCTGCAGTCCACAGTAGTGATGAAGAACTAGTTAATATCTATTGCACCAAGAAGGACTCTGTACCAGGGGAAGTCTAGGTTGGCCAGATACAGAAATGACCCCAGGGCAAACAGCAGGCATTTGAGGAACAGCGAGAACGGGTCTAAAGAAAGATTCTTTCACAAGGGGTCTTCCCAAGAACTGCTGCATCTAAAATAAAAAGGGTAAAAAGTAAAAACAAAAAATCCATACACATATCGAATATTTATATGGGCAATGATCTAAACTCATACAGCAATATTTGAGGAAAAGAGTGATATAAAATCTAGTTACAAAGCACAATAGAAACAATGTTGTCATATAATTAAATATATGAATATTTGAAAAGCAAAGGGCAGTGCAACATACTAAAGAACACAGAGAGATAGAGAGAGAAAGAGAGAGAAAGAGAGAGAAAGAGAGAGAGAGAGAAGAAAACAAGGTTCTAGTCCCACTTTCTCTCCACCTGGCTGGGTAACCTTGGATGCCTAGTTACTAATCTATAAAATAAGAAAGTTGGATTAGGTGATCTTTAAGGTTCCTTCCCAACTGAAATACGTAATATCGAACTATGCAAAGGGGCTCCTCAGTGAGTACTATTCATGTTGATGAACAATACTGACACTTAGAAATTCCACTAAATAACCAAAGTTGTCTATAGATAATATTACTTTCACTATTGTACATGTATATTAGAGGAGCTTGTACCAACTGATGGAATACTGACTTGATGTTTAGCTTCAAGGGCAGTAGCAAGATAAAATGGGGTGGGCCTGGGAGATAAATTCTCCTATAGTGACTGTAGACATTCTGGTGTGTATTACTGACTGCCCAGGGGGCTGTGGAAAGCTACCCCTTCTTAGCATCTACCAATGAGATGGATACTTTATTGGCTGGACTACAGAAGACAATAGATTTGTAGAGTATCTACCATGCACCATGTCTAGGCCAGCATAGGGTAGTTCAACAATTTGTTGAATTAAAAAAAAAATGAACATCAATATAGTTCTTAAGTAATGATTCTAAAACCAATAGGTGAAAGGTTAATGAGGAACTTCATAATGAATAGATGAGGTTGCCATTCGATTCTTACCACTGTTAAAGGAGAGATATTGTGTGCCTTCTGATGTATATATATCATCACCTATAAAGCACCGCATTCTAACCAACCCTCTAGATCTAATGATCAGTTTATATGAAATAGCAGAACATACACAATGTCATCAGAAGGATGCAATCAGTTAAATCAATAATATGGGAAACTGAACAGGATAAGTGACTTATTAACAAATAAATTACATGAATAAGGGGGAGAGCTGTTGGGTAGCTGTTACAGACTTAAAGGAGAACAATCAGCCAATGCAAAGTATAAACATTGCTCAGATTGGTTTTAAAAATAAGCGTTTTTAAAGTTAAGGTAATTATAACCAAACTGGGAATATTGTTGAGCTAGGTAACAAACAACATTTTTGAGACAACTGTGGAAATATAAACTTCAACTGGATATTAGATATTAAAAATTATTTATAATTCTCTTAGAAAAAATGGTGTTGTGATTATATTGATTAATAAGAGTCCTCATCTTTTAGGAATACATACTAAAGTATATATGGATGATATTATATGGTATGGAGGGTTTACTTTAAATATTCCAGTGGGGAGGAAGAAAGGGATGACATGAAACAAGGCTGACAAAATGTTGATAATGCTAAAGTTGGCTGTGGGGTTCGCCAAAGTGAATTATATTATTTTATTTTTTATATATGTTTCAAAATTTTCATAATGTAAACATTTTAAAGAATAAATGAATGGTGGGTACTGAGGTAATAGTCCTGCTCTCTTTGAGGACATCTATTACCTAACACTACTTTGAGGATTAGATAACCAGGGTACAAAACTCAAAATATAATGAAACATAAAAATACTAGTTAAACTGGAAACAGTACTCGTTATTCCAGACTTCTTAGGCTAGACTACTATGTATTTAAACCTGGTTATCATTCCTTACAGTACTAGAATCTTAGAGACAGATTTTAGTAATTAGATCATCTAGTACAATTTCCTGATTTATATATGAAAAAAGCAAAGTCCAGAACAGCTCATTTTCCAAAGACCAACATAGTTCTTCAGAGTTGGGACTTGAACCCAGGTCTCTAGTGTATTTCTATTGTATAACATCACCTGAATTTATAGTAAATAGCATATTCACATTGCTAGCACTTGTACTCTCAAACTGTTCCACTAATGCTCAATGGTCATTGATGCCTGCACTTGAACACAACTGTCAGCTTTGATCAAGCACAGTGGTGATTCTGTTAGGAAGCACAAAAGACACAGATGTTAGCTGAAGGATGCTTATCAATTCCATAGGGCCTAACTGCCAGTGGGTTTTTGCCTTGACCAAACCTGGATAGCTACATGACAACTAAAACAGTCTCTGAAGGAATGAGGATGTAGAGGTCAAGTTTTGCCTATGTTTGTCAGCTACAGAGTCTCACCGGTGTGTGTCAGCTTATGCCAGTCTGGTTCCAGGAAACTTCAAAGAACAACTCTGCTCCTGAGTCTCTGGAGCCATTTTATATTTAGTCATGGGTGAGTTTAACTATAATATATAGACAGTAGTTTGAATATGGGCAGAGGGCACAGGGTTTCTAGAAATCCTACCAAGAGCATGTGTTACTGCAGAACTACAGAGAATCTTTGGGATTTCTCATCACATATGTAACACAGTCCTTATCAGAGTAGTTAGGTATGATGGTGTTCCAAGCCTAGAATGATAATGTCCACAATACAGTACTCCTACAAAAAGTGTACTGACCAAAAATATAAAAGGCAATGCTGACATTCTAAACTAAAGCCCAGAGTGTATGTCACATGCTTTTATCTCTGAATTCTGCTTTTGAAACACAGTAAAACTCCATACAATTTACCTCATTTTTAAGTTCTTTGATATACTCATTTATTTGTAGAAATAACATTTTCAAAGTTTTCCTACAAGCAGAAGTGCTGATGTCAAAAGTGATCTGCCCCTAAATATCTCACCACTTCTTTTCCTACCCCCAGATCTGTTATGATAATAAAAATTATCACCTAATGGCTCTGTCCTAAAAGGCATTTTGAAAAGCTTTATGAGTTTCTTGGGTTAAGGTACTACGTTTCCCAAAAGGATAACATAAACAATAAGGCGTAGATATTAGTTTGTCTGATTAAGATTCATTGATCGCTAACAAGCAGGAAAGGGGCATAAATGGAAGCTGTCTTGCTGTTAAAGATAGAAGATAAAATTCAAGGAAAAAGGAAGTCTAAAGTAGAAGTACAGGGGTGAAGTTCAGCCTGCTAGAGTATTATGCTGAAGTATTTCAGTCATCTAGGGGTAACTTGGCATTGGGAATTCTGATCATTCATCAGTTTTCTCCCATGATATAGATGAGAGTGACAGGATAAATAAGAATATACTACCTCTTGAGATATCCAGTGATACAACCTACCATATTTTGCCCTGTATAATGTGTACCTTTTTGCCCAAATTTGTGAGGGAAAAATAGGATGCACAATATACATCAGTAGTACTAATTCTGTATCTAAATAAATGTTTTTATTTATTTTATTTATGCTTATGAGTTAAAAGTATAACTCTAGAAATCAATGACGATATCTGTATAAAAAATAATACCCTGGAGTACGATAATCGGCTTCATTGAACTTACAACAAACTTGCAAGGACAAAGAGTTCTTGACCTCCTATGATGAGTAAATACCATACATTTGTTACCAGTACATAAAATTTCTTATATCTTGTATCTGTTCTTGTGTTTTGTAATTATTTGTTACATTAAATTTCTTGTACCATAATATATTTAAAAATAAATGCTAAAATTCCTTTATAATACAAAAAACAAGTACCTAAATGTAAACAAGTAAAAATTTGAATTAAAAAATTAAAACGAAAGATGTTTTTCCCTGAAAGTTTGGGCCAAAAACGTGGTGTGCATTATACACAAGAGTATATTAAACATGGCAAAATATGGTATGTCGGTGGCCTCAGCTGAGCCGGCCAACTGTTTATATCACCTGGAGATGATATAACAGGAATGGACATGGATTACAAATGATATGCACATTATGTGCCTATTCCATTTTGAACACACATTAAACAAACCATATATTCAGTGTTTTATAGCCTTTATCATTTGATCAAGATGAAGGTGGCAATTTTTCAAAATGGTGTATTTCTCACCAGTATCTCAGGACTGGGCGGTGGTGGAGGAAGCTGGATTGGAGGCAAGGTACTCAAGGCGAACCCTTGCTTCACCTTGCTAATTTGTTCATTGTATTGTGTCTAGTAGCAAAAGAGAAACAATATTTTAAAGCAAAATCAACTTCAAAGAAATAGCATATAAAAATACTTGTAGTTTTGAATAATACAGCATAGAATAATGATTCCTAATCTATTATATCAAAAGTAATATAAAAACATTTTTTGATGTAAAAACAATTCTATAGAACACTATTCCTGAATATAAATAGTTGTATTTTTAGAAGTATCTGCTGATTGACAAGATACAGAGACACATAATTCACAGATCCTTGTGATAATTCCTTAGTGTTTCCAAAATTTTCTGTCCCAAAACGGGAACTGCTAATATAAAACAAATAGATGCTAAAGATTCAAGAAGTTATAAATAATATACTGGCTGGGTAAAAAGTATTTGTAACAAAGTCAAACTACTTGCAAATGTTCATTTTAAAAAGTAGAGGGGAAATTTTAGGAAATATTTATTAAATATTTACATATTGTTTATGTCAAAAGTTACACCTATAGCTTTCTCCAGTCCCATATATACCTTTGTTTTACTCTCTTGGATTCTGCCAAAAGTAAAACTGTAATCCTGGAACCTTAACAACATGCTTTTAACATGTTTTTGGCATTGTCCCCATTTTGCTTTATCATACCATTTTGTAAACAACCCACGAGAGCTGGAAAAGAAAGTCTTAAAAAGCAAACATTTAGAAACTTCCACACAGAAGACATGTGCTTGAAAGAAAACAAGAATACAGAACAAGGAGCAGCTTTTTTGAGGCCAGAACTTTGAATAAACCCAATAGAAATGCTAAGCATCACTAAAGACTGAGTAAGAAAGAGTCCAGTAAACAGCCAAGGCCATCAATAAAAAAACTAGACAAGCAGATAATGTTTTGAGGCAGCTTTTCACAATTGAATGTCACTGTGTTGTGAAATCACAAAATAAACAAAAAAGTTATGTATCAACTTTAAGATATACATACAAAAATATCCTAAAACCAAATGGAAAATAAATATTCCATGGCTTATCTCTTTAATTTACCTTTAGCATAGTCCTAATTCTATTAAACCAATAATTAAAAATTTATTATTTTGCATTATGGAATAAGTATATAAAAAGTTAAGGCTGAAAACTAATACAAGTCTACTTGATCTCCCTATTAATTCTGTAAACACAATCAAATCAAGTTAGACAGTTATTTCTAATGGGAGCAGTTAGCTTTGGAATTCTAGGGAAATTAGGTGTGATGCACAATTTTTCAGTTTACCATTTATTGCAATAAGGACCTAAAAGACCACGTATATGAGTATAGGATGCTATCTACAACTAACTACATGGAAGTAATCAATATCAAACCTAAAAAAGGCATAAACTTTAATAACTGAAATGAAAAAAACATGTTCTTCCTTAAATTTCTCTAGCAATCGTTTTTAATGTTAAATGTTTTCTTTAAATCTATAACACCTACAACATTCAGTTAATTTATTCTAAATATACTTCACAACTTACCCTGAGGAATGCAATCTTGTTTCTGACATCTGTCACAATGGCATTCCAGCTGTCTACTGCAGCCTTTAATTGAAGCGATTCTAGGTTGCTGGTGCAGACAAGGAGACACAAGAGAAAGTTCTTTCTTTTTATATACCACTCAGGTTTTCAAAAATGTCCATTATGTTCTCTAGCATACATGTAAATAGTGCAAAACAACAAAATTACCCTTATCACCAACAATTACCTCAAATGGGAACAAAGTTGTATGGGATGATTTGTTTAAAAATAGAAACAAGGACTTGGAACATATAAGATTTCTTTTTTCTAATGCAAATATAACTTCTGCTTCAGAACAACAAGTTTTTTTCTATCTTGGTGATATTTTTTAGGACATATGATAAAAGCTTTGCACAGGAACCCCTCCAGTGAAGTAGGAAGGCAGAGAAAGGCAAACAGGGAAATCGCCCTAGCCATCCAACGCAGGAGCATTCGCAAAGATGCCCACTCATCTTGGAAGCAGGTCCTGGACTATCTTTACATTAACCCTGTCACCACAAGTCACAGTTGGCCTATCAGACTCTTTTGCAAATTAGAAAAAGATACTTCCAATGGGAGGGCAAATCACAAAAAAGTACGTCTATGAAGTGCATAAACAGCACAAACACAGCAGCTCTGCCAAATATACCCACAAATGACAGGTAGGAAGAGCTTTGAGGTGTTCAGGGTCTGTCCTCTCTACAAGAAAGGTTTCAAAACCTTTTAAAAGGCTCTGTTATAACATCCCCATCACAGTGCCATCCAGTACAACAGCTTTAAAGGAGCAGAACAAGTTATCACTGAGATAATCTCATACAAAGGGGCATGATAACATTCTAATTTACAGAGCTTTCTTTCCTCCTCTGGCAAGCAAGGATAGACTGATCACTTATAATAGTGCTTCATCAACCAGAATGCACATCAGTATATCCTGGGAATCTTGCTAAACCTCAGAGATTCTGATTCTTTAGAAATGAAGAATCATGATCATTAACATAGTAATTTTTTAAAAAAATGATGCCTTTGCCCAGAGATTCTAATTTAATTAATTCTTTAAGTTTGTATACCCCATAAAATTATAAATTTAAGGAGACTCTCATGCAGCCTGCCCAATATTTGAAAATCACTCATTTATAGTGCAGCAGGAAATTACTAGCAACACGATTTTAGGTGTTAATACAAACCCTCCTCCTGCCAACCCCCCCACACGTACTCCAAAGGTATTTAAAATCAACCATTAGAAGAGAAAACAATTAGAAAAGAGTTTTCTACTTAGAATCCACTTTGGTTTGTAAATATCTGCTCTTCATATATGTCTCTGAGATTTTTTAAAATCTGTTTCACTGTGGAGGAAGGGAAAAAAATCTGTCAGCAGCTATTACTGCATTCAGTAGACTTCTCATTGCCTCAGCAGAAGCAACAAAGTAAAAATATCAAAGTGACTAGATTACTTTTGAGATTTAAAACACAAGGGCTTCTTCACTTCAAAGGCTCTGATGTTATTATAGTAAAACACATCATAGATTATGTTCAACCTTGGAGCCACTTGTGAGTTATCTCTGAGATCAAGATGTATTAAGAGGGAAAGGTTACCTTGCCGCCATTTGAGTCACCCTGGCAAGCTGACTGAGGCACTCCTTTTCAGTCTGCTGTAGATGAAGCAAACCAAAATCTCTACGACACTGTAAGAAATACACCTACAAATTTTTTAAAAAAGAGAAAGAGAAAGAAGTTTAAGGCATCCTTGTCAATGAACACATTCTTTTCTCAATCATTTCAAGTAAATTTAAAGCTATTTTTCAATCTCTTCCAATAACACCTGAGCTTCTTGACCATCTACGATGCATTATAAAAGCTTTCTGACACAGTCATCTCCCTGGCCCATGCCACCCTTGTCTCTGGCCTAGAGAAGCTCTTGAATACCTTCCATGAAAGAACATTTGAGTGAGAACAAGCTAAATGTTATTGTATTTAATGGTTATTGGGTTGGTAAACATTCTAGATTTTCGAACTGAAACATACACCGGAACCATCTCAGGAACTAAAAAATAGTGCCTTCGTTCTGGAGATTCTAATTTAATTGCTACTAGATAGAGCTTGGGTATTGAGTTAAGACACTCAAAAGAAGTCCAGCTATTTGTTTGTTTTCTAACTAGTAAAGGGATAAGAAAATAACAGACCATCCAGCACTATGCAGTCCAAATGGGCCTTGGAGGTCACCTAGTTCAATGTTAATCCCACAGCAAGAATCCCTTCTGCACCATTACTGAAAATAGTTTATTATACTCTTGGGAAGCATTAAGTGTTTCTAAAATTAATAATAGAAGTAGAAAAGAAACTCCCTGACTAAAGCAGTGAAAACAAAAATACAAACTTGAGGTCTTAAGGAAATCTTGAAGTTTTTTTGTTTGTTTGTTTTTTGTTTTAGTTAAAGCTAGCACTCCTAACACTTTACTTCCCAGCGATTTTTGGTTCAGATATCACTTACTGATGGTTGACCTCCAGATTTCTGAGTACTCTTCTAAAGCATAGAGCTTACTATGATAGAGGTGGGAAGGTCTGGAATGGTTTTAATGTCAGTGTGATCTCCAAACTCTTGAATCTTATTGTATATCAAGTTTGGTTATCTACAAGCAAAAATTAGATACACATATACAAACATATTTTGTTTGAGAGACCCTAGGTGTAGATTTCTAAGCTAACTCAGAAATAACTGGGTGACTTTCTGTGTCCAGAGGATAAGTTGGTTTTGGACAATGGAGTGTATGATGTATTATGTGCTTTTGGAAAGTCTACATAGGGAGTAGCAAAGAAGGGAGATGTGGCAGCAGTGAAATGTTATTCTTCAAAGTTTGGCTTAGTGACCTGGCTTCATGAGAATTTTCCCAAGATGTCTACATCTGCTATACATGCTGAAACAGACCAATTTCGCGGAGTCATTCAGGGAAAAAAACCATAAGATCATCAACACTGAAGTAATCATGTACAAAATGCCAATGAGTCATCGAGCTGAATTTTCCTGGCTGGTCCTAAGATATCTTATTTCTCTTTATTCAAGGAACAGTCTTTTATCAATAGTTTAGTATACAACTGCACAGGTAAAACTTCCCTCCCCAGCCCATCTTTCTGTCTCTTTCTCGTTTTTTTTTTTTGTTTTTTTTTTACCTCAGCTGTTAAAGCTCTGCTAGTTTCTGCATTCATTTTGGTTAAGTACGTTTTAATTGTGCTTTCCAGATTATGCTTCTCCATTTCCCACTGAGATCTGAAATATATGATCATTAAAGAGTCAGTAACATTTTAGCAAGGACTTTTCTACCTCATTCAGGAGAAAGAAAGATACAAGCTACTCAATGAAGCTCATGATTTCTTGAAAAGTATACACTATGTAAAAGCAAGAGAAGACATTACTTAAGACTTACTGGTATGTAGAAGTTTTAAAATTGTCATATAGGGGTAATGATTAAAACTTGGCTCTGAAATCAAGTTGTCTGAGGGTGAATCTGAGTTCCACAACTTAGTAAATGTGAAACTGTGGGCAAGTTACTGAACTTCTCTGTACCTCAGTTTCCTCACATGTAAAAATAGGGAAAACTGTATTACCTCAAAGAGCGCTGTGAAAATTAATTCAGGTAATATACATTAAGTACTTTGTGTTTGGCACATATTAAGTACTAAATAAATGTTATTATCATTATTAGATTTTACATAAAATGAAGTTTCTAGAAGCCTTTTTGTATTCTAACAATAGCAACTACAAAGGTTTTTATTATCCCTGTAATAAAGCTAAGTCATTGCATTAAAATATTTTATAGATTATCTCAGTGCTTATATTCAACACCTTAGAATTAAAAATATTCTATAGCTTGAGAGGAAGGGAGATGATAATAGGACATTATTTATGAAGGACATTATAGAAAATGGCTACCTGTGAGGTTTCTCTTTTTCTTATTTCACATTGGCTTGAGCCCCAGAACTCTGAAGCATACAAACTAAATCATGTCTTTAATAGAAACAATTAATTGGAAATATAACATTGTAATAGGGAACTTTCACAAAAGCTGTCCTCAATGTTTTATTATTAGAAACGTCTGGATACTTGTGCACCTGACAAACATTGATAGGAAGCTTGAGAAAACAATATATTGTGAACACTATTAAGGCGAGATGTTTTGAGGGAAAAAAATCATAAAATATTCAAGGAGCTATATTAACTCAACCAAGAGAATTATTATGCCATTGACTATGGTGCAAAATTTGCCTACAAGAACAAGAGAAAAAAATAAATAACTGGATTTCTTTAAATTAAAAACTTTTGTGCTGCAAATGATATCATGAAGAAAGTGAAAAGACAACCCACAGAATGGGAGAAAGTATTTGCAAATATCTGATAAGGGACCTGTAACCACAACATACTAAGAACAATTAAAACTCAACAGTAAAAAGACAAACAACCTAATTTAAAAAATGGTCAAAGGATGTGAACAGACATTTTTCCAAGTAGATACACAGCCAGCTAATAGGCACATGAAAAGGTGCTCTACATAATTAGAGAAAATGCAAATGAAAATCACAAGGATATACCACTTCACATTCACTACAAAGAGTAAAATAAAGACAGATAACCTAACAAGTATTGTAAGGATGTGGAGAAATCGGAACACTCATCCATTGTTGGTGGGATTGTAAAATGGTGCAGTGACTTGGAAAACAGTTTGGCAGTTGCTCAAAAGTTAAACATACAGTTTACTTCATGTCTCAGCAATTGCACTCTTAGGTATGTACCCAAGAGAATTGAAAACATATGTCCACACAAAAATATATATACAAATGTTCTAACAACATTATTCGTAATAGCCAAAAATGGAAAAACAAAAAAAAATGGAAACAAATAATAAAAAAAAAAAACGAAACAAATGATGAAATGATAAACAAAATATAGTATATCCACACAATGGAATGTTATTTATCCACAAAACAGAATGATTACAGACACATGCTACAACATGGATGAACCCTGAAAACACTGTTATGTCAAAGTAGTTAATCACAAGAGGCCACACATTATATGATTCTATTTATATGAAATGTCCAGAATAGGCAAATCCACAGAGACAAAAAATAGCGTAGTGGTTGCCAGAAGCTTAGGGAAAGGAGAAGGAGTGCTTTCTAACAGATCCAAGCTTTCTTTTTCAGGTGAGAAAAATGTTCAGAATTAGATAGTGGTGATGGTTGCACACCTCTGTGAATATACTAAAAACCAATGAATGGTACACTTTAACAGAGTAAATTTTATGGTATATAAATTAGATCTCAAAAAAGCTGTTATAAAAAATGACCTACAGGCAAATCTATGAATGAGAACAAAACAGGAAGTTTTGTAAAGCGGTCACACCTAGTAGCACTGGTTAGGATAAAGAGATGAGAGCTCATTAAACCTTAGTCCCTGACGGCAGTCTGCTGTGGGACCATAACTTGGCTCATTTAATGTCTCTCAGCAGTCTTCTAGGGCCAGAGCTAAGGTGAACATACCTCCCATTTCCCTAGGACACTTCTAGGTTACAAATATTGTCCCAGTGTAATTATTAATACTGCTCAATTTCAGCCTCAACGTGCCCCCGTTTGGATGATAAAGTATATTGCTACCCTAGCCAGAATGCTGAGTGGAATACATCATTTCAGAGAGAATGCCCTCAACCAAAGCAACAGCTGTTTGTACCTTTTCATGGAAAGCTGTTCTTTCAGGTTCTTGATTTCATTATCTTTAGCGTGGCTCTGACACTGTAATCTAAGCAAAGAAGAAAGTCATAAAATGTTACAGATGATTTGTCATTAATACAGTCAGAACAGCTCTACCTATAGATGAGGAAGGATTAAGTGTTTCCATTTTGGGCCACAAATCTTGAGCCTGAAAATATCTGCACTCCAATACCTAGTTGTTCTGAAATTATCTTATTTTTCATGTCTGATGTACTGATTTCCCCAAAAAAGAACCAGGTTCTAACTCCTTAGTTTTAACTAAGTTGTAAATTAGAAAGCTAAAGAAAAGAGTTATCTTGTATTCCCAGTTCAATGACTTGGAAAAATGTCTTCAGTTCTTTGTAAATACTTTACCCATTAGAAAACAGATGCTTCTAATGTTCTAGGCCTATATTGGGACTGAGAACTTTAAGATCCTTAAAGAGATATTATATCAAGTCATGCAAACTATTAAAGGCTTAGGGCCCGAAAGAAATCAGGCTTTAAATACAGAGGTAATGAGACTGTGTGCAAATAAGAATTATAATGAAAACTATAAATTAAAACTGGGGAGTCACTCATTTGATCTAATCATGGGAAGACTGGGTTAAAAATTGTGTATAAATCAGAAAACATAACCTGTGATTAGCTTAAAAATTAATTTGCTTGGGCTGGCTGAGTGGCGCGTTGGTTAAGAGCTGGCTTGGGACGCCAGCTCTGAGCAGCAGGGCTCCGGTTAGGATTCCACATGAGGGCCAGTGACACTGCGCCCTCTATAGCTAAGATGGTGAACAACAGCTCGATCTGGAGCTGGGCTGCCATGAATCGCTGGTGATGGCGTAGGCTGCAGTGGGCTGCCGTAAAGCTACTGTGAGTGGCTGGCAGCCAGCGTGAGCGGCCATCCATGGGCTGGAGACGGATCTGCCTCACCCAGGAAGAGCGCAATAATACCAACATGGGCCAGTGAAGTGACATCCTCCACAACTAGACTGAAGGACAAAAGGACAGCAACTTGTCTGTTCCCCTCCCCCAATTCCCAAATAAAATCTTAAAAAAAATAAAATTAATATGCAAAAAGCTATTAAGAAAAAGTTTCTAGTTTGTTCAGACACTTGAGATACACAGGAGTTTTGGTTAATATAAGTGATTGGAATGGTAAGGCTTAAAACAATGACTTGTTGGCTGGATTGCTCACTACTAGATTGCAGAGACTACCCACTCACCTTTACTCCAAGCTTTTGACAGCTGTTGGACTGAAAATGCCATGATAGAAACCGGGTCTCTTTTTATACAAAAGAAGTCAAGTTCTCAAGTAAACAGTAAGAAATACAAGCTTTGTTATTGTAGTGTACAGGAGTATGTAGAGAGAGTTGAAAAGTGTTAAGATTTCCAACACTGACATTGACCTTCCCTTTGTATACTCCCATTACTTCAATATTTCTCCTGGCTCCAGTTGAGAGTGGGTGATCAGAGTTGACAGAGCTGGTGGGAAATTCAGAAGACCTTGATTCTTAAATAAAAGAGGATAAGGTGGACATAGTTCCTATCATCCAGCTTGGGTATGAACCAGCTGTTTATGTTTAGGCAGTCATAACTTCTCAGTCCTATTTTTCTCATGAATAACATGATAGGGTAGGATTAGATTTTCTTTTCTAAAAGATCTAAAGTTCCCAAGCTTATTCTGGTCAGCTATTAAGTTTATTATATGGCTTTTATTGACAGTAGATTCTGAACATTTATGAAGTGCTTATTGTAATTTTTACAAAATGTGTCACTTTTATATAAATCTTCTTTGTTAAAAACTGCAATCATTATTGACAAATACTTACCAAACGCTTACTGTAGGATTGGCATTAAATTAGGCTAAAGAAAAAAGGTGATTTTTTTTTTTTTTGCTTCCTACTAAACACAATATTCTAAGATTAAAGAAGTCAACATTTTACAATTAAAGAATATATTCTTCGGGCATGATCAAGTGAGTTAAAGAAAGGCTCAAAAGCTTACATGAGAACAACACACAGTGCTCGTGCTTTTTTCTCTGCCTAGATGCCCTCTGTTCTCCCATCTCATCCTACCTAGCCTAAGTTCAATACTATGTCTTCAATGAAGTTCTTCCTTATCACAACAATCAACAGTAGTATTCTTTTCACCCTACAAAATCCCTATTAAGGATAGCTCCATTTGACAGTTATGTCCTTTTTAAAAAGTTAAACTTCTTGGGCTGGACGAGTGGTGGGATGGTTGACAACTGGCTTGGGACACCAGAGGGCCCAGGTTCAGATCCCACATATGAGGGTCAGTGACACTGCCCTCCACAGCTAAGATGCTGAACAACAGCTCAACCTGGAGCTGGGCTGCCGTTGAGTCGCCGGTGATGGCATAGGCTGCAGCCCCTGTGGCAGTGGGTTGCCATGGGCTACTGTATGTAGCCAGCGGCCAGCAGCCAGCGTGAGCAGCCAGCAGCCGCAGTGAGGGGCCGTCCAGAAGCCGGCAACTGATCTGCCTCACCCGGGAAGAGCGCAATGATGGTGCCAACTTGGGCCAGTGAAGCAACGTCCTCCACAACTAGACTGAAGAACAAAACAACAGCAACTTGTCTGTTCCCCTTCCCCCAATTCCCTAGCACGGTTCCCATCCCCCCAATTCCCCAATAAAAGTCTTTAAAAACAAATAAATAAATAAATAAAAATAAAAAGTTAAACTTCTTGAGATAATAAGATTCACATGCAGGTGTAAAAATGATCCCATGTACCCTTTCCACCTTCCCCCAATGGTAACATCCTACAAAATGACAGTATAATAACCAGGATGTTGACAGCGATACAGTTCAAGATACTACACAGTTTTATCACCACAGGTTCCATCATTTTGCCTTTTCTTAGCCACACCCACTTCCGTCCTACTCCCATCTCCTCCTTATAACCTTGAAACCACTAACCTATTTCCCATTTTTATCATTTTGTCATTTTTGGAATTTTGTCATTTCAAGAATGCTATACAAATGGAATCATACGGTGAATAAGCTTTGGGGATTGGGAGTTTTTTCACTCAGCATAATCCTCTAATGTCTGCAGAGTATATAGAGATATCACTGTTGCTATTCCTGAGGGTGTGTTTGTGTCTTCTCTTTTCTTTTGCCAGTTTTGCTAGAAGTTTGTCAATTTTATTGATCTTTTCAAAAACAGCCTTGTTTCATGGATTTTTCTCTAGTGTTTTTCTGTTACCAATGTCATTACTTCTCATCTTTATTATTTATTTCTGCTTGTTTTGGGTTTTTTTGCTTTTCTTTTTGTGTTCTTGAGGTGGGAGCTTATATTATTCATTTGAAACTTTTCTCCTTTTCTAATGTGTACATTAGTTCTTCTCAGAACTGCTTTAGCTGTGTCCCACAAATTTTGATATACTGTATTTTCATGTTAATTCAGTTCAATGTATTTTTATTTCTCTTGAGACCGCTTCTTTGACTTATGGATTAATTAGAAGTGTGTTGTGTACTTTCCAAGTGTTTGGAGATTTTCCTGTTATCTTAGCATTATTGTTTTCTAGTTTGATTCCACTGTAATGTGAGCATATGCTTTCTATCATTTCGATTCTTTTAAATTTGTTGAGGTTTGTTTTATGGCCCAGGATATGGTCTATTTTGGTATATTTCCTGTGGCACTTGAAAGCACATGGATTCTGCTGTTGTCTGGTGGAGTGTTCTATAAATATTGATCAGATAATGTTAGTTGATGGTGTTATTGCAGGTCTTTTATACCCTTGCTGATTTTTATAGAACTACTGTACTACAAATTGCTGAGAGTAAGGTGTTGAAGTCACCAACTAAAATTGTAGATTTTTCTATTTCTTTCAGATCTATCAAGTTTTGTTTTCTGTATTTTGAGGCTCTCTTGTTTGGTGCATATACCTTTGTTTTAGTACATATACAGATTCTTATGTCTTCCTGGTAGATTGATCCTTTTATCATTAGTAATGTCCCTCTTTGTCTCCAGTGGTTTTCTTGCTCTGAAGTCCATTTTGTCTGATATTAATATAGAAACTCCTGCTTTTTTTTTTATTAATGTTTGCATGGCATACCCTTTACCATCCTTTTACTTTCAACCTACCTATGTTATTAAAACTGAAGTGAGTTTCTTGTAAACGACAGATTATTGGATCACCTTTTTTTGTTTTGTTTTCTTTTTTAAAATCCACTCTCCTAGTCTCTGTCTGTTAATTAGTATATTTAGGCCATTTACACTTAACGTAATTATTGACATGTTAGCAATTATGTCTCCATTTTATTGTTTTCTGTTTTCTTTTCTTACCTTCTTGTAGGCTATCTGAACATTTTTTAGGATTTCATCTTGACTTACAGTGTTTTTGAGTATCTCTATGCAGCTCTTTTAATTGTTGCAGTAGGTATTATCATATGCACACATAGTCTACTGCTATTGATCTTTTCCTCATCAAGTGAGGTGTAGAAGGGCTGATTCACACTGTTTTGTTGCTGTAGGGTAGAAAGAGGCAGGAACCCCCTAATGAGCCCCTCTGGCACCAGTGGGGGAGAGGGAAGAAAATGGAGTGCCACCTAGCCCAAATGGTAGACTCAGCTCTCCATAAGGACAGCAGGGATGAAACCTAGCAGTGACTAGTCCCACCTCAGATCAGTTTATTAAGTCTCATTGATGCTGGGTAGAGGTAGAGCTTAGGTTGCAGCTGGACAACACTGATGCTATTCTGGCAGAGAAATTGGACACTCCCTCCTTCCTCCTGGTGGAAAATGGAAGGTCAGCTGCCTGCTCAGTGCTGCTACCCCAGCAGAAGAATCTGATTTCTGCCATCTGTATTTGGCAGAGCATACTGCCTGCTTCCAAGGGGTGGGGCTGTTGGTTTTTGGCTGGAGTAGGAGGGTAGTGCTAAAAAGGTTTTCAGTTGTTATATCTTCCTTTGGCTAGAGGGAAAAGGTTTTTCTTGGAGTTTTTACCCCCTCCACCTATTGGCAGTTCCAGGTTGGAAGTTTCTGCAGTTCCCTATCTAGGCTATAAGGGAGGCAATAAGGAAAATCACTACCATATCGTTCCTCAAGTCCCAAGGTCTTTAGACAGTCTGCTTTCTTCTTCTACCTTTCATAGTCTTCCTCTGTTTGTTTGTTGTGTCGATCCAGGGTGTTTTGTTGTAATAAGGGGGATTTGCAAGTAATGGAACCACTATATATTGGTGGAACTGAAGTCCCCCTGTAATATGTAATTTTAATACCCTCGTGTTAATCTATACTCTCCATTAGATCACAGTCAATGACTATCATGTCTTGGTAACTTCTATTGTACATGTGCCTTACAGAATTCTTCTCACATGGTGAGTACTTAATAAATGGTTGGTGAATGTTCAACACTGAGTGCTCATTGTCTGAAGGCATGTGCATCCCCTAAAGTGCTGTTTATAGTCTCAAGCATACAAGGGTGCCTGGGTCAGCTAAGGGGGGATATCCTCAGACAGTGAAGGACAGGAAGCTCATCTGTATGGCTTCCCCAGCAGATGGCATTACTGTTCTGATCTCTGACATTATATAACATATTTCTGGGTTGGTCATTACCTTCCAGGCTAAAAGACAAAGTTTTGATTTCTTCTCAAGTGACTGCAGCAAGCTTAGTTTGCCGAAGCTATCTTAGGTCCTCACCTCCTTCTAAACTTGTAGGATCTAAGTCCATCAGGAACAAGTCCTGAAAGAGTTTGCAACTGATATTGTGCTGCCAGAGTTATGACATTCAGTTCTTTCTAAAAACACCTTCAGGTTGGATGATATGATATGTGGGAGAAAATTTAAGCCCTAAATCTCTACCAAATATTTCTCCAATTTCATAATTAGTATTTTTGACTCCTTATTCTAACATATTTCCTATAACTTGATTATTCTCCCTATTAGCAGTGTAGGAAATGCAAAAAATTTCAAATTAGATTTATGGACAACTGGTATCTTGTGGTATTACTGGTCATTAAAATAATGTGTTACAAATTATGTCTTACTATTTCAACTGATACTTATTGCAGACAGTGACTTAGTAGAAAACAATAAAGCAGGATACTTGTTTTTCCCTATTAAGTCAGAAATTTCTGTCTTAGGTGTTTAATTCTTAAGGTTGTAAGAAAAATGAAACTGGTAGGGGTGAGAAGAGTCTCCAGGAATTTGGTTTATTTTCAATCTCTTGGGCTTAGAACACAAATACTCTGAGAGACCAACATAAACAAGTATGCAAGTGGTTCTATGGTGTCTTGGAAGAACATATTTATCACATGCTATAAAGAAACAACCAATCATTTGTCACATTTTTACAAATTAAAGTCATGATCTAAAAGTTAATTATCTTTCTCATGTAATTCTATTATCTTCACACTTGTTCGGCTAATACGTGAAAAGCTTTATATAGAGAGTGAGCAGTTGCTTATTTCTCATTTCAGCTGGCAAGGCAAGTACATACAGAGTTGGTGTTTAAACAAATGCAGTCCTGTGCATGGCAGTTCCTAATGTGCAGCCACAATGCCACCTAGTGGCTAACCAGGGATTATCTTTTAAAGATAGTGTTCATTATAGTAGAAACCCAGAATTTCCTGTTATTAAGATTTGTACTTACTTGGAAACCTTGTTGATTCCAAAAGCCACTTGTTGATTAAGAGATGTGATGATTTTGTCCCTCTTTTTAATCTGCATTTGATTCTCTTGCCACCGAAAAGTCACTGTTTTCAACTGTCTTTTGAAATCCTGCTCAATGAAAAATATTATTTCAGTTAATTCTGTTCAAATCACCAGAAACTGAAAGAAAAAAAAATTGGTTTCTTTAAAAAAAGAAAATATCATTAAGTTCAACATTTGAACTACTCTGATTTGCCTCAGATCTAGTAGCAAAGGTACTTACTTCACACTGATAGTGCAATTTATAAAGCTGCTGCTGTCGAGCAAGCTTTTCCTTCTCAGTCTCTCTATATTCTGCAGTTACTTTGTTGGTTGAGCCCTATTGAGCAAACGGAATATGCATGCTTTATTTTCCTCTTTAAAAAAACACTAATATTTTAGTTATTTATAGGAGATTTAAAGTTGCCATCTATCTTCTATTTATTCTTTAAAGGTCTCAATGCAAACATCGCTTTTGATTAGTTTAGATAAACCCAACCTTCCTAATTATATCATTCACTAAATAATGCCACAGTTACTTGTCTATTGATGCTACTATTGGATACCATTACCTGCAAGCTTACAATTTTTAAGCATTTTTTTTTGTAATGCTTTTAATGTTAAAAGAACCATATGAGGTAGGTACTCATTCCCATTTTAGACACGATAAAACTGAGTAACTTGCCCAAGGTCACACAAACAGTGAGGGAGGAGCCGAATTCTAACTCAGGTAGCCTTAATTGGGCAAGAGCTTTATATTATTACATGGCATCACCTTAGTTTAATGTTCAACTTCTCCACTGCATTATAAACACTAAGATCACAGGGACCAAACCATACATAGCTCTAGAGACAAAGCCAGTACTTGATAAATATTTTTTGAATAAATGAATAAGCATTTTTTGAAAGGTGTATGACATTTTGATTCTGATTTCAAGTTCTTATAGCCCTCATGGCTACTGAATGAAAACCAAAGGCCCCCTCATTTATGCTTCAGTGTAACATCCAAAGTTTGGAATATGTCACTTCTGTTAAAATATACTCATTCTAATATTATAATTGGAAAAGAGAAAAAGAAGGTATGGCAATTATATGAA